GTGTGTGAATGGGTGGATGACTGGATGTGAAGCGCTTTGGGGTCCTTAGGGACTAGTAAAGCGCTATACAAATACAGGCCATTTACCATTTACTATGACCGATGGCTGTGCCCAGGAGGTAAATTAATGTGGTCTTCACTCCAAAATATTTGCAATAACTGTAAATGCCACTGTTTTTAGATTTACATGGGCTACAGTGTGTTAAATACAGACAAAGGCTATGTATTAAAATCCAGGATCATTCAGCTGTGTTCCTTGTGCCTGTTCATTTATCTGAAATCTGGTTCTCCGCCTCTAACTAAATTACACCTACTGAATAAATAATTAGTCTAATTTGCGTCACCATTCTTATACTTGTCAGAAAACAAATTCAAACAACTCCGTCTGTTTATTTATTAATGTAAGGTCATTTTTCTCCCTCTGCTTTGTGATACTTTATCATTGATGTTGCTGTTTTCATAGGACACATAAAACCTAAATGTAATAAATTACGCAGAAACCATGCAAAGCCATCATGTTAAAGGCCAAACAACAAATTATTGTGCAATGATGATTCTTCAGGAACATAAAGCCTTAAAGAGTCCGCTGTCTGCAGTGGCTAATATGGCTGGAAAAGTGGGTTGATTACTGCAAACATTGATTAGGAAATTTTCTACATCATAGGGGTAAAAAAAAGAAAAAGCCCCAATGCAACACCTTAATGAATCTGTAGCAGCACTGTGTAACTTGAAGCTGCATTGATCAATATTTTTCTCATAACCACGAATCAAATGAGTATGTGTGAAAAGCTAATGTTCTTGGTGAGTTTCTCGCTGGAGTTTCTCCTTTCTTTGTCAAAATCTTTGTCAGTGTTGACAGACAAGGTTAATATCTTGCTGGTGAATAAAATGGAATATTTTGCACTGGAGGAATAGATAGAAGTGAAGAGTGTAGACATGTGGTGAGAGCTTGGAGAAAGTTAATGTGTTTCAGACATCTGATTACGATGCTTCCCTCTGGGAGGAAAGTCTGTCCAACTGGGAGGAAACGATGGTTAAAAACTTACAGTATCTCTACAGATCTCTAGCTAAAGAGATGATCTTGTCTGGCCTGGGAGCGCCTCGGGATCCCACAGGAGGAAGAGAAAAGCTTTGCTGTGGGGAAAAGGATGTCTGGAATATCCTGCATAGCCTGAAGCCACCATGACCTGACTTTGCACAAGTGGATGAATTTAGCAGTGGAGGAGCAGAAAATAACAAATAAAGTCAGTCTTTTAAAAAATCTATTTAAGGATTAAAGATCCTGTACTCACTGATGATATGCTTTTATCACTCCACCACTATTTAAAGCCTCGTCTATAAGTGGAGCATGAAGCACAGAAGGCTTGAGGAGGTCAGCTCTCTCAAAGACAGCTATATCTCAGCATGAAAAACCCAAAGTGGTTATTTTAAGAAGAAACCCTCCAATATCCCATCCTGGTGTATCCTACTACTATCTCCCTGTTACAGCATCCTCCTCTGGCAGCCCAACACCACTCCACAGCACCAGCCTCCAGCCTCCTCTTGGCCTAATCTACCATCTATGTCACCTAACAAAGAGCACCATGCCAGAGGCAATGAGAAA